AATCCGTTTATATGTGTATATAAATATATTAAAAATCACGGATTTGAGACATTCAATTCAATTTCATTTTTTTTTCAACAATATACCAATATCATTTTTCTAATATATCCAAAAATAATGTAATATGCTGCCTCCCTTATATCACCGTCCACCCTTATACCGCTGACTGGAGTCATAGGCTAACACATAGTCCGATAGGAATTAATCCATTTTATTGAATTATTCCAAGCTCACCGATACTAGAGATATATCCGGCCAAAGATATAGAGCTCAAGCTCGGACTATGGCTCCCTTCCTTTGTGAATAGGGAGGTGTCATATGTCCCACAGCTCCAACGAATTCCCGGCCAAAGGAAAACATGGAAGAAGGGGCCCTGACAAGTGCCATCCACTGTGCACCGAGTGATGGCATACCACGTGGTAATTTTATATCCATACAATCTCCTTCTATCCTTAACCCAACAATGCATGTCATATGCAAATAATAGTACATCATAAATATATTCTCAAATATATTATTAAAAATAAGATAGCAATAAAATTCATATATCTTTTAACAGTAACTCATGATAATTTCATAGCTATTAATATGTTTAAATATTGATCATAATTACTAGCAACAAATCTTAATAAAATCAGGTAACATACCAAAACATTTATTTTACAAAGAAAATCATAATATTATATTTCAGTAATATAATAATTAGTAAATCCACAATATAATCATACACAATTCACATGTACAAGAAAGAATTTTCAGAGTTACTTGATACTCTAGCTTACAAGTATTCACAAAGAGTACTCCAAAATTTTCAAGAGTCTACAAAATTGCACATTAATATTTATTAATATAAACTCAGAACTACTCCAAAACTACTCTAAAATTCTAGGACTACCCTCTAAACCAAAATTACATAAATATATTAACTCTCAAATCTAGGCATTTATAATAGATATAATATTATTTTGAAAAGTATAATTTTACATATAAGGCTATTTAAATTTAACAACTTTAAATATATTTTTATTACTCAAAATCTAAATATTTTATATTAGAATTCTGAATTATTTATTATAGTCTCCTTTAAAATTTTTCCTCAAACCAAACAACTTCTTTTTAAATTATAAACAAACTGTAGTTTTATCTAATTTTACAAAGTTCTCAATTTATAATTTTTCAAGCTTCCAAAATTCATTTCAAAAAAAATATATCTTTAATTTATTCAATATTTAAACCGATTAAAACCTCAATAATATATTAAATAACTGAAATAAATTATTTAACTTAAATTTATTCAGTAAAAATATTCTATATCTTCGAATAACAAATTTTGCAACTAAAATCTTAATTTAAAATTCTCAAAATAGTCATTGAGTAAATATAAACCGATTAAAATTTCTTAATAATGTATCTTTAAATTTATACAGTCATACATTGTCAAAACTCCATATTTACTCTATACCCAAACAGTAAAATTTTCTCTAAACATTATAATGATAATAATAATATGAAGCTATAAATATATAGGAAATATTCATAAAGAAAATTTGATAAAGAGAAGTATATTTGTATACCTAAATGATCCCCAAAACTTGTCCCAACTTTCCAATCACGTATTGCAGCTCAACTTCTCGCTCTCTTCTTCTCTTCTCTTCTCTCTCTCTCTCTTTCTCTTGTCTTTCGCTCTCTCTCTCTCTATCTCTTTTCTTCTGGCTTGAAAATATAACTGGTGAGGACGTTTAACACCCCCTCTCATTTATATCCCTCCATCGCTTCCTCCTAATTTTTCCACTTCCATCCGCTTCTTCCTTCCTTTTCCTTCTTCATTTAATACCCTTCTATTGTTTTTCAACCTTACCCCGTGTTTTTCTTTGTTCTTCATTAAATCTTCTTCCAAAATTCTTTCCTCATTAATGCAACCACTCTCCCTCCCCCATCTTTTCTACCGAATTCGGTGGAAAAGATGACTTTTTTTTAAAATAATAATATATTATTATATATATTTAATTACAATTTTTTTTATAGAAAAAAATAGTACGTTACAATAAACGTGTCATTTTGAGTGGCATATGGTGGTTCGAGAACCCATACGCGAGTCATGCACACCTATTCATATAGTATAATTGGTTCAAAGCTTAGTTTACAACATTATTTTATATGGGTGAAACCATGTCTTGCTTAGGTAAAGATTTAAATTTTTTAGATATCTATACTGAAAACATGATATTTCTGAAGTGATAAGAATTTGGGTTCATTTTAAAAATAGTAGAGGATTGCTAGAATATTTTTAAAATGAAGAGATGTGTTTTTGATAAGTCATGTCTTTGTACAAATTTATTAAATTAATAAATTTACATGAAGGATTGTGTTCTCATATAAATTAATATATTTATATGAGGGGTTATGTCTTCATATAAATTAACATATTTATATCAAGGTTTATGTACAATACTAAAAAATCCTACATATTAAATATCTTTTATTTATTCAAATATGATTATTCATGAACCAACATATGATTGTGACTTCTTAGTTAATAAAGTATTATTCCAAAAGGCATCTCTTCAAGGTATCATTCCATGGTCTATATAAACCCCTCACCATGATTTCATATGGACATAACACAACATAATCACAAACATACTAAGATTAAACTTATTACCTTTGTCTTTAAGTACACTCGAAAATATAGTCAAATTATCACTTTGTAAAAGCTATTATTGTATTGGTTTGAATCTTGGAAGTGTAATCCATATTCAAGGGTTTTCATTGTATGGGTCTTCATTGTATCTTGAAGGAAACTCGTCAATCAACCCAAGTTGCACCGTATAAGATAGAAATAGGTGGGGTGAATTAGGCCTAATAAAAGTGCTGCCCTCACCTTGAAGATATCGTGCACCACTTTCTTCTTCATCTCTTCAGAGAACCATTCCTGCTAACAAGAGAAATCAAAATTGACCTCTTCCTCGCCCTCGATCTCTCTATTGCTACTGAAGCACTCTCTCGTCCTCATCCTTCTTCCCTTCCTTTCCTTTGAGAACCTAACAACATGAAGGAAAGAGGTCCAAATTGAACTTGTGTTAGCTGTCGCTCTTGCTGTAGATTATATAGGGGGTTGGTTGATTTCATTCTCATGTGTTGCAAAGAATTTGAGGAAGAAGACTTTTGTGCTAGGGCATGTAATGCTTCTTTTGTCACTCACTTCGTTTCTCACTCTTTCCACTCTAAGGTATCATCTTCATCTTTTTTATATATTACATTGTAATTGTTCTCCCTATTTGGTTAGTCTTCTTCATATTTGTTGAGCAGTAGGAAATTGCAAAACAAGGGTATTCAAGGAAAATGAAGAGGGTTACTAGGCCTAGGAAGAAATTAAAGGCACTTTGATGCAATTATTTAGGAAACAAGGGTCGAATGTTGTTTGGATATGAGATTGTTGATTGTATCTAGCTGCAATACTTACGCCACTGTTTTTTGCCACTTTGTCTCTTTTGTAACATAAAAAAAAAAAAAATCATACCCAAAATCATAATTTTTTTCCTTTAAAAAGGAAAGGGGTCAGGATGGGACTAGACGCGGGATGAAAATCCCTTCCCGTCCCTGTTCACCCAGACAGGCATATCTCGGTCTCATCCCATCTCATGAACAGCTCTAATTTGCATATTGCATCCTGTTCTTGTTATGTGTGTTTGCATTTTTTTTTAGTCATTGATTAAATTTTTCTTCCTGGCTCTCTTTATCTTCTTTTTTCTTTTTTGGGTTTATTTTTTTTAATTGTAAAAGATTTAGACAGATATTACAAGTTTTGAATAGTTTAGAAAAAGACCAATTTAAATCTAGTACAATAGAACATCCTTCTTTTCTTATGCATTTTGCCTCTTTTAGGCAATTTGAGGCAATAGAAGCCATATTTCTTTACACATTGCATTCACTGCTTTTATATTAAATATTGCAACTATGGGTGCATATGTAAAGAATAGAGCTTGGACTACGATGTTTGTTCAAGAACTAATTTTTAGGAATTTTTAATTAACAGAATTTTATTTTAGAATTGGAAAGATTTATAAGAGAATGTTCTTTCGTATGACGAGTGCTCAAGTAATTGATTACTTTCAAACTACATGATGTTTACATATAATGTATTGGATTTTAAATTCTATAAATATAATTATTTATTTAATATTATTCTCTTGTTATTATTGAATGATTATATTGTATATTGTAATAAATATTAACAGTAAAAAAATAAATAGAAACAAATAATTTAAAATAATTATATAAAATTAAATAAAGCTACTTTATTTGATTCTTTTTTAACCTAACTTGATGGTTATTAATGAAGAACTGTCAAATAAGATGACCATATTTGATAGTTGTAAACAAAGAACTGTCAAATAAGGTTACATTATTTGATTGTTATTAACTAAGAAAATTTGATTCTTCAGAACTGCTAAATATTTGTTCTGAGAATATTTGATGTCCTCTTATTTGATGGTTCTAAATGGTCAAGTATTTTTAATTTTGTAGTAGTGATGTTGTGCCTCCTTTTTTCCCCCTCAAATTTTTCAAAGAGTGCATGTAACTTCTAGAATTCTATTAGCACATAAGATTCATTATTATGTTAAATTAAGTGAGGCAGGACGGAACAACTAGCAGAGAATGAAGAGTTTGCTTTTAATATAAAGCAGCCTCCAACTAAACATTCTCTTTCTCACACGCACACGCAAGAGAAGCCTTCTACATATTTGAAGTAACACACACACAGTACTCTTTATACCTGATTGATATGGAAAACTTGCATGCATAAAAAATACCCTTTTACGTGGTAATAGCATAGAGGAAATTGTACTCGTGTACATAAAAGCTAAAGTGGGCTGAAACCTAACTGTAAACAGAGAACATATCGAGTCCGAAAAGGAAAGGCTCTCGAGAAGTAAAAATGAAAATAAAAAAGTTTGCTTTAACTCTACTATCGTTTTGTTTGTTGTTCTAGATCTGGATCATTCCCGTTTGATGAGTGCCATGCAAAGCATGTCCTCGCTATCTCTGAATGCCCAAACATCAATTGTATGGCCCTTTTCGAGTTTGTCTTCAAAAACAATCCTGTTCCAACCACCATTCAATACATATTGATAGCTTATTTTTTGAGGGTCATTGTCACTTTTATGCAAATCCCATTGTTTGAAGGTCAATGTGGTCTCACTAAGAGGAGGAAGAGCCACTCCATTATCCTCCTCCTCCTCCTCCTTGGGTTTATGAATCAAAGGCACTTTAATATCTCCTCCTAGCCTAAGCCTTGTAATCTCATCATCTTTCATGAATTCAAAACTCTCTATCTTGTTACAACACATGGTGAGTCTCCCATGTTGTTTGTTCACATCTGTGCCATATAAAGTCTTTTGGTAGATGTGGATGATTTGATTTGGCCTCGTTCCGCCGCATTTCTCGATGATTCGTGCTTCAAATTCCTCCGGCAAGGGTGGCGCGTCCAGAATATCTTCCCTCCTCTTCTTTTCTGTGAATTTCCTTATCCATTCTTCAGAGGTAATCTCAAGATGATTTGTTTTTGAATTATTACCATTATTATGCGTGATGACAGAGGATTTTTTCCTCTTTTTCCGCGGTGGGACTGGTTGGGCATTATTTCCTTCAGCTAATGATGATGATGATGATGAGTAAGCCTCAGAATTTGCTTTGTTCCTGAGCTTTTGCCGAGCAACTTGTGCAACAACTACCAAAACTTCAAAGGGAGTTGCATTTGGATTCAATTTGATGTCTTTGAAATCTTCAAGAGTTAATTGATTAGACATTCTCACTTGAGCGTCACCTTTGTGTGTAAATTTCATAAAACAATAATTAGTGCTCTGATTCTAGTTAATCATAATTTAAGAAGATAATGTAAATTGTGTTATGAGCATATATAAATGCTCTAAACAATGATTATATATGTCATAAAATTTTTTTTGGCAACTCTTATATATGTCAAAAATGCACTGTACAGTGTCCAATGCAGCCACATATTTTTATGAAAACTAGACAACTTTCGCAAAATTATACAGAACAAATTAAAGTGAAACCTTTGACTCTAAAAAAAATGAAAAAGAAAAGACAGAGAGAGAGAGAGAATGAGGCAATAATTTTCGTAAAAAGAAAAAAAATATGCACTATGACAAAATTTAAACATCACTAAAATGAAATCTCTACTTTAAAAAAAAAAAGGAATAGGAAAACGCTGCGATTATCACAAAAAGAAAAGGCGTGTTCAATTTATATACTTCCATTATGAAGGTTTCTCATCGAAAAACTTTTTTCATATAGCGATTTAAAAAAATTAACATATTCAATCTCAAATTTTAAAAAATAAATATGAAACAAAGGCATATGAACACCCACATATAAAAGGTCAGTGTGATAATACCTCAAGACGAGATGAAAATGCCGATGCGCGCGAATTAGGACCGCAAATCTGGGAAGAGGAAAAAACTGAGTTAAAAAAAAAAAAGAAAGAAAAATTAAATACAACTTTAATTATTTGAATAAAATGAAAAGGGAAAAAAAAAAATCTAAGAGTACCTGTTTTCTTCAGAGATTACAAATGACTTCACTTCGATACTTGGTAGAGAAAGAGTGCTCGTGAATGACTGAAATACTAAAGGAGGTTTAAGAATAAATAGAAAAATTTAAAGAAGTTTCAATTGAAATAATACAATATGTGATAATTAATATTTATCTTTTTTCAACTAAGACGCAAATTAATATGTTATTTTAAACTTATCATATTTTATCTCATGATCTGTATTTAAGATCAACTAGGAATAGGATAGACTCGTTTTAAACGAAATAAAAATTATTAATGTTAAATTTATTATATTTTTATAGTAGACTGTATTTATTTATTTATTTATTCCAACAATTTATTTATTTTTAAATATAGGATAATCTAATTTTAATTGATTGTCAAAAAGATATGATATAGTGTGCAGAGAAAGTAAACCAAACCCAAAAGATCTAATGACATTTTTTTTTGGGGGTTCAAAAATGACCTCGGTTAAATAAACAGATGATATGAAAATATCTTTAAAAATTTTTAAAAAATTAAAATAATATTGTATATTTTATTTTAATAACTATTATATAGTTCAAAATGTCATCGTATGCTATGATAAATAACGTCAGTTTTATTTATATAAAAAATTTTAAATATATTGTTGGCAAAAAACACAATTTTTAAATATATGACAACTCTAAGACTCCCAGGACTTTAAATAAACTTAAAATTTACTATGAGCATATATACGAATTTTTGTTATATAGTTGATTATTAATATTGATAAATCAAGGATTATTCATTCCTATTTTTTAAATAAAAATATAGCTAATTATAACACCCAAGATCGATCTCCAATTTATTTTACAAAACAAATTAATCTATGCTCAGTTTATTTTCTAATTAATTTTGATTTAAAATAATGCTTGTTTATAGGAATAAACAATAATTAAATACACTGTACATGCAATAAATATTAAAAGAAATAAGGGAAGACAAAAAAAAAAGATACTCTTCCGGTCCTTAATATAAGATCCATATATCATATTTATTATTTTTTCTAAATTACCCCTATGGATACTCCCTCAACCATAATCAAGTAGAAGAGGGAGAGAGGGTATTAAAAAAGATGATTATGGTATTTTAGAAAAAATGTGTCATTTTTCTTATAATTAACTAACTTATCTAACTTCTTTAATCTAATCAAATTAGTTAAATGGGTATTATATTAAGGACCGGAGGAGTATATAATAAACAAGATTAAACCCTGAAAATATGAAACCTAGATATAGATGAATTTTCATTTTTAGAACAAGGATGCTTATTAATACTAACAAATTAAAATGACTGGAAAGATTAAAAAAAATTGAGTTGAAAAACCAAACTTAATTATTTGAATAAATACTAAAGGGAAAAAAGAAAATCAAAGTGCGCCATATACCTGTTTCCTTCAGAGATTGGAGATGACTTCTTCACTTAAATTAACTGCTTAATAAAGAAAGAATGCTCGTAAATGACTGAAGTAGTATTGCAGAAGATTTTAAGAACAAGTAAAAAAGATTTAAAGACATTTAAATTGAAATAAGATAATATGTGATAATTATTCTTTTTTTTAATAAGAGATATATCATTATATGGATTTAAGATCAAATAGGAATATGATGGGGTCATATTAAACGAACTAACAATTATTAATAAAGTGAAATCTGGTAGTAGAAAAGTGATAAAGAATGAACAGAACATTAGAACATCTTTCACAGTTTCAAGAATATATAAAAATAGTTATTATAATAAATTTCTTGCATGAACATGATTCATCACCTTCGTGTGCGTGGTTAAAGATTGATCACCAAGATTTGAATAATGCTTGTCTGTGTGTTTTCTGTCATCTCTTTTCATTTTCTTTGTGTTTTGATTATTAATTATTCGTTTTTTGTTTTCAAGAATGCATAAAGAAATTGATGAAGCTGATATGAAATAAGAGAGAAAGAAGAATTAAGAGAACAATGAAAAACTCACCGAGATCTCGGCGGTGATGGAACTTAGCAGACATGCAGCATTCTGCAGAAGAGAAGACCGAAGCGCATTACAATGGAAACTGAGAGGGAAATGAAATGCAGAAATTGAAAAGATGAAAATGGCAGAAGGAAGCAGGGAAAGACGAATACAGAAAGCAGAGAGCGTTTCATTTCTGGCAGCAAGAGCCTTGAAATCCCTTGAAATCTTCTTTATACTTGCAATTATAAAGAAAACACACACACGCACACACTTGTGAAGTACAACTTCTCATAAGGCCACTATGTTGGTTATTTTTTGACAAAAAAAACTCAGCTAGTATTAGTTATATGTAAAAAAATTCTTCCAATAATTTCAATAATTGCTCGGTGATTGGTATAGTAGTTAAGGTAAAAGTGCAATTTGGACGTTTTAATTCTATACAATATTTCTGTTATTAATTTCTTATTTTAAAAAAATATATATTTTCAGTTCTTTAGGTCTTATATAATGCTAGGTGGTGTGAAATAATGATTTTTTTAATATAAAAATCATTGTTACTTTTAAAAATTATACTCAATATGTTAGCATTTAAGAAAGTTTTGTCTAACGTTTAAAATTTCAATTTCTACATCTCTTTGTTAATGGCGTTTGCCTTAACGGTTAATATTAGTTAATTTTTTTAAAAAAAACTCTTATAATTTTCGAAAATTATTGTGTTATTGTTATGATCTAAGTAGTGTGCCCTTAATTCTTTATTTTCCTACAATGTTTCATTTTTACCCTTTAATTTATAAAGTGTCTTCTTATTCTTTTTACCTTAATGTTATGTGTGTGTATGTATGTTGAAATTTTAAATATTAACAAAACATTCTCAGATATTAATATATTAAATTTGGTTTTCAAAAGTAATAATGATTGGCATAAACAAATCGTTTAAGACTAAATGTTATTAGGGTTGAAGATTGAAATTAAAAAATAATTTATAAAATTGTGAGATAAATTAAAATTTTGGACAAAGTCAAAGGACAAAATGGACACTTTTTCACCTAATTTATTGTAGGATGTAAAAACCATTAGTTTAGTTAAGAGTGAAGAAGACAAAAAAAGGTTAAATTTAATTAAACAGTTTTATATTCAGACCCAAAAAATAGGATCTTATAAATAAAAGTGGAAGAATAATAAAAAAATTAAGGAAAAATTAATCTTTTGGTCCCTATAGTTTTCACTAATTTATAACTCAGTCCCTATACTTTGACTCGGTGCAATTCAGTCCCTCTAGTTTTGACGCGGTTGTAACTCAGTCTTTGAAATTTGACTCGCTGCAACTCGATCCCTATAGTTTTAACCATTTTATAATTTAATCCCTCTTTTTATTATATATATAATTTTATTTTTCAAAAACACAAGGACTAAATTATAAAATAGATAAAACTATAGGGACCGAGTTACAGCGAGTCAAATTTCAAAGACTGAGTTACAAACGAGTTAAAACTAGAGGGATTGAGTTACATCGAGTCAAAGTATAGGGACTGAGTTACAAATGAGTAAAAACTATAAGGACCAAAAGATTAATTTTCCCAAAAATTAATTTACTTTATACCCATTGCTACATTAACTACTGCGCATAATTGCGTGACTGCGGATGTTTGATCTGTGCTTCCTCCAATATAACTTTTTTACGTAGTTGGTTACCTATTCCATATCTATGCAACTCCTTTTGCTTTAACCCCTATTTGTGACATTAAAATTTGTGTGGAACCTATGCGATTTTTGTCTTCTTTTGAATATGAGTAAAGATTTTTAAACACCTAACACTACAAAACAACAGCTGATTAGTGACAGAATTTGCAACAGAATTTTTTTTGTTGGAAATTTTCGTCGGTAATTCCGTTACTAAATTGTTTGTCACAGAAGTTTTTGTCGCTAATCCGTCACTAATTTTAAATTTTATTATTTTAAATTATAACCTTACAAAAATTTATATAATAACAATTAAGAATATAATGATTTAAAAACATTTTTAATTATAAAATAAATTGATATATTTGTGAAGTTGTTGTTAATGAAGATATCGTCATCATTCATGTCATCATTATGTATATACTAAAAATAGAAAGACAATTTCTTAGAAAACTTGTTTATATTTTGTTAAAATAAATTCCTCTTGATTATTAATAATAATTAAAAAATACAATAACAATATTAATAACTTTCTTATGCAAACTGATATAAGAAAGAAATAATTTTATCATATGTATAATATAT